TAACTGTTGCTAGGTATTTGGTTTTTTTTTTTGAGAAAAATACGCCTGCACTTCTGATCAGTAGACTGGAATCTAGAATTGTTGGAGACAACGCAATTTATGTGGTAAATGTTACAGATCTTCACAAAAAGTAACGTGTGAACTAAGTGCCTTGTGCAGCACAATGACAGTGGCAAATTTTGAAGTATAAAGTTAGGGGGAGTGAGTTCCAATTACCGCTGCTTGTAGTTCGTTTCTTCACGATGGTCAAGAATTTGTGTTGTAACTCTCTTTTTAACTCCTTCTTATAAGCGCATATCCAATCTCGATCAGTCTCAGTGCTCAGATGAAAAAACTAGAGTGGGTATCATGTTTTTCCATTGAGCTTATTTTGCAGAACGAATAATGTTTAGTTTTGCATAAATGTTTCCTTTTCTCTAATTATGAGAAAAACCAAAAAAAAATCTAGACCGCTTATTTAGGTATTAGGTATAATAGGTATGCTTATTTCAAACAAAATTACATCCTACAACTGATCCAAGTTCTTTGATTTGAAAACAAATATGAATGAAGATAAACGCAAATAAAACAAGACTGCTCTTATCAGGGCAAAGCTTGAATGTTCCGACTGCCTTTTAAGGTTTCTGGAGCAGTATTAACATTCAAAAATTAAAAAAAAATGAATTTTTTTTCTTCTAAAATTTGAATAATTTTACGAAAACATCCCCCCAAACGCCATATAAAGTACAAAATGATAGATTTTGCTCCTTGTAACAATTCAACTATGGCAAATAAGCTTCTTTCAACCAATTTGGAACTATTTCTAAGACGGATTAACTCTCCGCTTACGCGTTACTAGCGCGAAATATATCGCGCGCTAATTGTCCCAAATTGGCCAATTAGGTATATTAGGTATGCTTATTTCAAACAAAATTACATCCTACAATTGATCCAAGTTCTTTGATTTGAAAACAAATGTGAACAAGACTGCTCGTATCAGGGCGAAGCCCTGAATATTCCAACTGCCTTTTAAGGTTTTTTGGAGCAGCAATAACATCAAAAAATTAAATGTAAGGAAATAAAATGAAAAAAAAAATTTTTCTAAAATTTGAATTTTTTTATGAAAATCATCCCCCCACACGCCATACAAAGTACAAAAAGATAGATTTAGCTCCTTGTAACAAATAAATTATGGCAAATAAGCTTCTTTCAACCAATTTGGAACGATTTTAAGACGGATTAAATCTCCGCTTACGCGTTAATAGCGCGAAATATATCGCGCGTTAATTGTCCCAAATTGGCCAAAATGGCAATCTTTAAACCATCATAACTTTACGAAAAATGATCACAGGTAATATATCTTTTCAAATTTGAGCTCAAGACAACAAAACCTTTCGAATGATATAAAAAATTCTGTCAAAATTGGCTAGTTAAAAAGTCGAAGTTTGTCTGAAGAAAAAATAACCCAACCCGAGCACAAATACTCCGTTACTTTCATATCGAAAGTCGGAACAATAAAAAATGACCTCCGCAGTTGCGCCAACGTGTTGCGAGCCTGCGAGCAGAGAACGTGACTATATACGACATTTAGTTTCAGTTGATATGTCAACGCCGAGATACACGCGCAGCCACGCACCTAAATTAGCAAACTCTTGGGTAAATGTGGGTATAAAATGTTTCGGGTAAAGAAGCGGAACAACGAATGGAAAAAACTATTTTAAAAGTGATTTAGAGGATAAAATTTTTAGCATAAAAATGGCAAATCTAAATCGAATTAAAAGTTTATGATTATCAACATTGTAAATGCATCCTCAAAGTTGAGATTTATAAAAAGAAGGAAAAGTTGATTTCCAGTAATCACTGCTATTAGCTCATTTTTTAAGAATCATCAAAAATACGTTTCTTAACTTTTCCTTGAACTCTTTCTTATTTGCAGATCTGGATGGATACCAGCACTCAGATGCAAAAAACAATATGGGATAAAGCTTTTGTAAAGTGCTTATATTGCAGAAAACCATAAATTTGACTTTTGTTTCCTATAATTAAAAAAATACTTAGTTAACTTCAGAAACTTTTATGAGAGAAATTTTTATGGGGATAATTGAAGATAATTGAAGATAAGATATTTTATGCAAGCATAAGTGTGATATCAAATAAATGTGGGAGTGACATCAAAAACAACCGCAGCCAACGTGTTGCGAACTTCCGAGCAGCGGGTAAAGCTCTATATAACAATTAGAGCCGGTTTTTGCATTGAAGTTGCAATACGCGCAAAGCGCGCCCACCGTTTCCTTAAACAGTTGATAGCAGAAAAAAAAACGGATCAGCGGGGTAAAACAATAAAGGCCAAATATCTAGAAGTTAAACTGCAAGATATGAAGGTTGTAAAAATTAGTGGAGTATAGAAAAAAAGGAATAATTTGAGTTGTAATTTAGCCAATTTTGACAGGAAAAAAGTCAGAAACAAAAAGGGGACCCTCGAAGTCATAGAAAAAAGGGGACCACCATCAATTTCTCTCCACTGTTAGCCAAATAATTATAAAACACTGCTCGACCTGAGTGTTGGGGTTGGCCGTGAAATATAAGCATGTAGACGATTAATTTATTTTCAAATACAGCCTTCGAAAAACATTTTTTTCAAAATCTGGCTCAACGAGAACTTCCGAATTTTGAAGAGAAGATGGAGTATGTATGTTTGTACGTTTTACTTGCCTTTTTTTTTAGTGGAACAATTTTTATTAGAAGACAGACTATAGTGAAATATATCGTGTTGAATTGAATTTTTGAACTGAATCTTGCTTCAAATTATGTGAATTGATTTAATAAATTGATGTTTGAAATTGAAAATGACTCAAGTAAGCCCTAAAACTTGCATTGACGAGATTCATTGAAGCAATTCTGATAATTATTTTAAACAATCTCTAAAATATTTTGTTTTCCAAAGCTCAAAGGTTTTTTTAAAAATTTTTTTTACCTGTGATCATCTTTTGCGAAGCGGTGGGGGTTTGAAAAAGTCGAATTTTGCAAAATCGAGATAAAAAGCCGCACTCGGTAAAAAGAGAAAATTTTAGATTATAAAAAAGAATTTTTTTGTCAGTCCCCATAAATTTCAAAAAGAATTGATTATAATCTATTAAAAATGGATTATAATCTTACTATTTTTTGGAAAAAAAAACCATTATCATCAATTATAATCGATTATTTTTTGAAAAACTTTTTCTGAAATTTTATTGAATTATAATCCATTTTAACCAATTATAATCCATTGTTATTCAAAAAATGTGATTGCTTCATTTTGTTTTATTATTGTTTTGCCTGCGTGCTGTACAGTTGGTATCTTTTCCTACTGTTTACTGTTTGATTTTTTTCTGTTTACTGCCTACTGTTTACTTTATTGTTCCGACTTTCGATACGAAAGTAACGGAATATTTGTGCTCGGGGTGGGTTTTTTTTTCTTCAGACAAACTTCGACTTTTTAACTAGCCAATTTTGACAGAATTTTTTATATCATTCGAAAGGTTTTGTTGTCTTGAGCTCAAATTTGAAAAGATATTTTACCTGTGATCATTTTTCGTAAAGTTACGGGGGTTTAACGATTGCCATTTTGGCCAATTTGGGACAATTAACGCGCGATATATTTCGCGCTATTAACGCGTAAGCGGAGAGTTAATCCGTCTTAGAAATCGTTCAAAATTGGTTGAAAGAAGCTTATTTGCCATAATTGATTTGTTTTAAGGAGCGAAATCTATCCTTTTGTACTTTGTATGGCGTGTGGGGGGATGATTTTCATTTAAAAAATTCAAATTTTAGAAAAAAAATTTTTTATTTTTTTTTAATTCATTTAGTTTTTAAATGTTATTACTGCTCCATAAACCTCAAAAGGCAGTCGGAACATTCAGGGCTTCGCCCTGATACGAGCAGTCTTGTTACTGTTTACCGTTTACTGTTTACTGATTTCTTACTTCTTAGTGATTTTTATTGTGTTTTCGTGCAGAAAAGCTCAATTGTAAGTCATTATAATTGATACTTCTTGTGAAATTTTATTTTGATAGTAAAAGGGAAAATAACCTATTATAATATATTATAGAAGATAATAAGAGATTATAGGAGATTACAAAAAATTATAAAAAATTATAAGAGATTTTCGGAAATTTTATAGTCAATTATGATTAATTATATAATTTATCAAAATTTCACCAAACATTTTATCAATATAGTGGATTATAAATCGTTTAAACATGTGAAATTTGCGCTTTTAATTACAATTATAATATAATAGATTCTTTTCTCCTTTTACTGAGTGCGGGAAGTAGGCGATATGGGTTGTGCTATCAAATATATGCAACGATTTAATCCAGCACAGAGAGCATTTCAAATTGCCTCGAGACAAGCTTTAAAGTTGAGCTCAAAGCATCAATACGTTTCAGATGTCATACGAAAGCTTCGTTCAAAAGTTTCTATATTTGTTAGATTCAAAATCAAAACCCGCCTAGCACAAATTTTTTATGCTTTCATCGAAACCGGAATAAACAAGCCGCAATAAAAAAGCCGGAGTTTCTGAGAAACCGTTTTTCGAAAATCATATAGAGAACTTTCATTTAAAAAACCAAAAATTTGTCTTTATAATTACAAAGCCGCCATTACTCATGAACGATTGAGGCTGAAACAGGGAGCTCTTGAAAAAATGCACTACAATGCACGGGTTATTAACAAAACGGTCAACTTGAACGTAAATAAAAAAAAAATGATGTGAATTTTGCTGATAAATTTTGATGATGTGAACTTTTTGTTGAGCTCGGCAGCGATTGACTTTTCGATTTAATTAGTCAGCTACAAATAGTTTGTTTATTGAATTGATCAAAAGTCTGATTTTCTGTCAGAGTTTAGAGGACTGAACCTACTAAACTCTGACTCTCATAGTAAACTTGAATATTTAGTTTTAATAATTTCTGATCGTCTTTAAATAATATTTACAAAGCTAAATTCATCATAAATGATTTGATACTTTCATTGTTCTCAAATATTATATCAATCATATTTTGTGCTTTACATTTGTAAAACAATAGTGATTTAACACAGTGTATAGTTTGAACTTTTCCCCTATTTTGATTAATTTCATTTTTTTATATTGCATTTTTTGGTGAAAGTGTTCTTTTTTCTAATAATTTAGCCATTTCAATTTTTAATTCTGGTTCAAATTCTTAACGATAATGTCTGACGAGAACAGTCCGACTAGCAGTTACATAATTGACGTGGAACACGAGCACACGAATACTAATGGCTCGGCCTCCATCGACCACGACAACCTCTCCACCTCCCACTCCTCTGTTGCCGAACTAGACGTCCCTTCTCCCGACACGAACCAACTAAAACCACCAATAAGGGTTGGGATTTATTAGCATTTCATACCATTTGCTTTAGTAGCGGGGTGTATTTCAAGGAACTGATTTTAAGTATTATGATTTCTCAAAACAAGAAAATGAAAAAAATCAGAAGTTGCGTCAACTGACACTTGGAGAGAGTTTCGGCAAAGATTTTTTCATGGAACAGAAAAAAAAACATTCGTTTTTAAAAGATAAACAAGGATAGTTTTAAAGGTTTTGAATATATTTGGAAAGAAAGTTCTTCTAAATGATTTCCATAGAACGACATTTTGGATAGATGGATAAACAATCAAATTACAATAATCGCACCCTGTATTCATAATCCTTAACAGAACGAAGTCAAAGACATTTGAAAACGGATTAACTGGTCTAACGACGCTCTCTCGCGGCTTCACTCTTGGATATAGTTATTACCAACATCCTATACTAGTCTATACTATTTTTTGAGCTTAATAACCACTTACTAATAATGTTAAAAAGGACGAAGTGGATGATGCGAATGGACGCACGTCAGAAATGAGTTTCTCGGAGCTGCTGAACAAACCGAACAACGAACTGTCCTTCCGTGACCTCTCTTACACAGTGTGGGTTAAGAAAGAAAAGGAGCACAAGAAGATCCTGGATAAAGTGTGTGGGCATTTTGCGCAGGGGGTCAATGCTATCATGGGTCCAAGTGGAGGTGGGAAGACCAGTTTGTTGGATATTTTGAGCGAGCGAATCAACCTTACAGGTAAGAATCATTTTTGAATATCCTTTCAATTTGGTTTTTAAATGAAGATAATCTCAATGAAATTAAAAAAACCAAAGGCTGAATTTTAAATTTTGTGTTTTTGAGATGAGAAGCAGAATGTTTTAATCATATAAATTAGTTCTCCGAATTTTTGAAACTGTTTTTATAGATTTTTTAAGAGCGCAATACACTTTTACTTTCTCAATGAACGATTCAAGTGCTGCCTGAAAGCTCGAACTTTACTTCGTCATTGTTTAAAAACAATAGTAAAATCAGAGAGGTTCCCGACCCCTTTAAAAATTTTCATCTTTTGCCATAAATTTCCCCGTGAAGTTGTCTAACCGTGAAGTTGTCTAAAAACATAAGTATTCAGACAAATTTTTCTTCTTTCGTCTCTTAATTGAGTTTGCGTTGATTTAGCACAACTTTTCGACCACAGTATCTTTGAATGAACCAATTTGCAAACAATTTCTTCTAAAACATGATATTTTTTTGGTTATGGGTACAGTTATTTTCGTTTGAATTATTTGAAAACTGCTTAACAGCGTACAAAATATTTTCCCCCACATTTGTACGGTATGAGTTCCAGGTCATGAGTTCTTTTTTTTAAATTATCCCTTCACACGCTATCTAAAGTAGACAGTGGGCTGATATGATTCACTTATAACGAAGTAATAAAAAACCAAACAGCTCGCCTCAATTCAATTTTGGAACGATTTCTAAAATGGATTAAATCAATGCTCACTCGTGAATGGCACCAAAAACATCGCGCGTAAATTGTCTTAAATTGGCCAACTTTGTTTTCAAATTTAAATCTTTCAGCTCCCACAACTTCAGAACAATTATTCACAGGTGAAATATCTTTTTGAAAGCTCTGGCAACAACACTCTCGTCAAATGCTCAGGCAAAAACTCAGTCAAAAATTGCTCGTTGAAAAATTGAAAAAAAACCGAGCACACGCATTTTGCCTTTTTTCGAAAATAATTATAACAAAAAAGTTATTACACTTCTGATAATTTTTGGTTGGCCTTTCGAAAATTGCAAATTTGGTTAATTTAGAAGAATTAATGCGAGATATTGTATTCATTTAAATCGTAAGAGGTGATTTTAATGAGCTCAAAATTTGTTCCAACTTGATTTGAGAATATTAGTAATTTACTAGATACAAATTATAAAAATTACACAGAACTGATAAAATTAAAAATATATTTTTTTAAAATTCTAATAGAAAAACTAAAAACTGTTCAATTTTTTTTTCAAAAATTACATCAGTTTTGGAAAAATTAAAAAGCTGACTTACTCCTTTGATTTTTAAGACAGTCGAAAGTGTCAAGGCTTTGCCCTGATATGTGAGCAATTTTTATGATTTTTAGCCTAATTGTTGATGGCCATTCTTTGGGTTTCTCGATTGAAACTGAAAATTTAACCTAAAAATTCGAGAAAAGTCAACAACTTTTCAAAAAATGATCAAAAAATCAAAAATTTGACTCAGAAACACCAGTTGTCAAAATTGTATCTGAAAGTTGATTTAAATTTTATACACAAAACTGCTCATATCAAGGCATTTCTTTGAAACATCTGATTGGATTTAAAAGAGAAGTTTTTGATTTGAATTGATGGAAATTTAAAAAAATCATCCCCATCATGGTATTACAAATACCAATAGGTATAGCAGGTAGTAATTGACTGATTAGAACAACTGGTGGGCCTCAAGTCAATTCAGTCGATTGAGACCTCTTACGCCTTAATAGCACGAACAATATCGCGCGTTAATTATCCAGGTTGACTAAACTGGCATTTCTGAAATCCTCAATACTTGCAAAAAAGATTATATGACAACTATCTTCTGGAATTTGAGTTCAAGACATTAATAATTTTAGAACATCAGAACACAGTTTAGCTGGAAATTGCTAGTTAAAAAATTGAAAGTGGCCTGGAGAATAAAAAAAGACCAGGGATTTAGCCAGTTTCTTCAAAAAACGGAACAAAAGTACAAATTTGAACAAGAATAGGAAGTTGCTGTGCAAGTGGAAGAGAAATTTTTGTTTTGTCCATACTTTATAAAAAAAAAAAAATTTTAAATTTTTTCTTTGTTTTTGCTGTAAATTATTATAATTTTTAATCAGCGGTGTGATTCAAAAACTATCGCATAGAAAATTAGAATATTAGGCAGGATGGAAAATTTTTGTTACCAAAAAAAGAAGACAAAATTGAAAAAAGCTTGAATATTTTTTCTTTTTTTTCTCATTTTTTGCACAATAATTTTTAAATAACACCAATTTATCGAAACAAGTTCTAAATAAAACGTGCTAAACAAATAGTTTTACAATAAAATCAAGTTTTTTTATTCTAAAAGTCTAGAACTTTTTTAACTTTTTTTAACTAGCGTAACCTCATCAGGTTTTTTGCTCGAAAATAGCCAAATTTTCCAAAACTTCAAACTAGTTTATCCTAACCACTGGACCAATTTTTGAAAATATTTTAATGTCCTTCGAATTACAATCGAAACGGTTTTAATACGAGATATTGCTCGGCCCATTCGGATGGTTATTTGGGGTACCTGATTTTGCGTGGGACATAAATAATAAAAACAAGGATAACCGCTTACTGTGCAAGTTGCACAGAATGTTACGACCATAGTCTTTAAACATCTACCAAATTTTTTTTTCATATCAGTGTAGCTTTTTCTGCGTGCCCTGGTGTGATAAAAAGGTCTGAAACAAAATTTACTTTAGTCATATTTCACAGTATCATAACAATATAGGCAAACCAGAAAAGCAGTGTTTGAAGAAAAATAACTGGAAAAATAAAAAATTAAAATCGAACAAAATTCAAAACTTTTTTCAATTTTTTTGTAGAAAATTTTGAGTACCAAAAAGGCAATAAAAATCTCCAAACACTAATTTTACTCGAGTAAAATCACCAGTCAGCAAAATTAGGGTTTTGTAAGCGGCCTAAGTTGAGCATAAATAACCCTGCTTCCTGACATTCGTGGCTCGGAAATAGACAAAAAATCAACAGTTTCGAACCGGTTTTTTTCGACACTAGAAAATATTTTGGAATTTTTGAATTGCGGTTCGAGTCACGACTGAAAGGATTTTATTATGATATATCACTCATCCCAGTTCCATGATTATGTATGGTACATGATTTTGCCTGGAAAACAAAAAAAAACTAAAACACACCCGAATACCCCAGTTCATCCCCAAAAAATTAGCCAATTGCTGTGCAAGCAACTCAAAAATTGACAAAAAAAATTACTTTCTCATCAACTTTTGTCAGTTTTTGTAATTAATGCGAGTAAAACAAAACCTATAAAAAGGTAACATAGTTCCCCACATTCAAAATCAAAATTAAATACCATATAAAAACAGTTTTTCAAGACCAAACAGTTTTTTTGGAGTTCATTTTTTAAGTAAGAATGTATCATATTGTATAAAAGCGAATTGAATTTTAAGTCAAAAAATAAACGACCTATATTAAAATGTTTTCTATTTAACACACATACTAGCTCTCGCTTTTCTCGCCTGAAATTAAACTAAAAAAACTAAAATTCAAACGGGTTTTTCTCAAAATTGAAACAAGTTTTCGAAAATTTCAATGTTCAATGAAGTTGTTCGAATTATGACTGAAGGCGACCCATTTAATAATCTTTATGGAACTTGATTTTGCGTATGAAAAATGTACACGCAAAGACAGTTCCTCCTACTATAAGGTCAAAATTCTTTTCAAGCGGATTACTGCCATCAAGAGCTACACTCACTAGAAGAAATTTAAGCTATAGTACGCAGTTTAATTTTCATAAAACTGCGTACTATAGTTTAAACTTCTTCTAGTGAGTGTGGCTCTTGATAGCAGTAATCCGCTTGAAAAGGATTTTGACCTTATAGTAGAAGGAACTGTCTTTGCGTGTACATTTTTCATACGCAAAATCAAGTTCCATAAAGATTATCAAATGGGTCGCCTTCAGTCATAATTCGAACAAATTCATTGAAATTTTCGAAAACTTCTTTCAATTTTGAGAAAAACCCGTTTGAATTTTAGTTTTTTCGTTTAATTTTAGGCGAGAAAAGCGAGAGCTAGTATGTGTGTTAAAATAGAAAACATTTTAATATAGGTCGTTTAATTTTCTGACTTAAAATTCAATTCGGTTTTATACAATATGATACATTCTTACTTAAAAAATGAACTGCAAAAAAACTGTTTGATTTTGAAAAAACTGTTTTTTATATGGTATTCAATTTTGATAATGAATGTGGCGAACTATGTCTCCTTTATTTAGTTGTTTTTTTCTCGCATTAATTAAAAAAACGGACAAAAATTGATGAGAAAGTAATTTTTTTTGTCAATTTTTTGAGTTACTTGCACAGCAATTGGCTAATTTTCTGGGGATGAACTGGGGTATTCGAGTGTGTTTTATTTTTTTTTGTTTTCCAGGCAAAATCATGTACCATACATAATCATGGAACTGGGATGAGTGATATATCATAATAAAATCCTTTCAGTCGTGACTCGAACCGCAATTTAAATAAAAATTATAAAATTTAAACTTCTGAATGTAAATGAGGTTGTTATTTTCAAAAAAGTCTAACTAACAGAGTCGAGTTTCTATAAAATTGAGAACCAATTTTTAGGAAAATCTAACAGATAATTCGGTTCATTATTCTTAACTTACTGTAAATTGGGCGCACTCGGCCCTTTTTCTAGCATCTTGGCTCAACTAACCGGCCCATGAGTGTCTATGTTTCTGCAGGTGTGGAAGGGGAAGTGTTACTGGATGGGGAGCCCACTCCCCCCGACTTCCGACTCATATCGGGCTATGTGGTGCAGGACGATGTGGTGATGGCCACTCTGACAGTGAGGGAGAACCTGCTCTTCTCCGCCAATCTCCGACTCAGTACCAACATCAGTCTGTTCGACAAAATGACCAAAGTGGAAAGAATCATCCACCAACTGGGTCGGTTAAAAAAAATTTGTTTTTTTTCCGGCCATATTCCCTCCCTCCGTGGATATTTAAAAAATAGTTTAAATACTCTTATTGTTTTTTTTGCAGATTTTTTTATAATTTCTTCCAATCAATCGAAAAATTTAATGAAATTGAACTGAGAATTGAGTTTTAAATCAAAATGGTTCAGGAATATCTTTTATCTTTATCTGAAAATAACGGAAATGAAAATGATTTAGAGCCAGAATTTTTTTCAAACTTGGAAAAACTTTTTTTCAATCTCGGACATTTTTTCATGGATCAAAAGTTTCATTCAAAGAAAACTTCGGTTTATTATTTTGAATTCAGAAACAAGTTAACGAGTTAGCGAATAAATATTTAGTCGATGTGTTACATCTCGCCTAGCTTCCCTGACTGAAAAGACAATGGATGCCAAATTGGTCTCGGCAGCTTAAAACATTTAGTAATATCTTTTCCCTTTCAGGTCTGCAGGCGTGTGCAGATAGCATAGTGGGCAGTCAGTTGAAGAGGGGCATCTCGGGTGGGGAGAGGAAGAGGTGCAATGTGGGCACAGAACTACTCACCAACCCAAAGAGTCAGTCTCCTAGAGATTACTCATTAAAAAATAGTTCTTACTGTTAAGAACTTTGAAATACAGTTGATGCCAAGTTGTTGGCAACATCGGTGACCTTGAGCATCTTATTTGGTCAGAATGCGATGCTTCTTAGGTTATTTAGTGTTTCTGACTTCCGACATCAAAATGAGCAGTTTTAGGTTGCTAAGCTTAGCTTCGTTTAGATTCGTTGCACGAAAAGATAATTGTCCACAACTTGATATTTACTATGAAACCATTTAACCGCAGGGTAAAGAACAAAGCCTAGAGTTGACAATTTTTTACGGAGAATAACTATTCTCTGGTCTGGGAAATGATGACTTGCAATCAAGTAACCAATACGGACCATTCTGGATTGCCTCAAACCATCGTCCGTTTAACTAAGAAGGGGAGACGTTATGGCATTATAATATCATTCCCTTTTCTATTTTATATTAATCCAATAATTAGGCAGTGAAAATCATATAAGCACTATAAATAAAGACCACATACATAATCTAAAGTTATCAACAAATTCTATTAAAAAATGGCAAGATTTTTCATTACTGGAGTGGTCGCTCAACAACTTCTTTATTTCCAACTTCTGCTCACCAATTTATTTACTTCTATCGTTTTCTTCTTCTAAGTTTATAAGAATTCACATTTCCTATGTTCCAGTTCTGTTTCTGGACGAGCCGACTACAGGACTGGATGCATCTACTTCCTTCACGCTGACGACTCTGCTGGATGAGCTGGCGAGGGAGAACAGCATGACTGTGATCATGTCCATCCACCAGCCACGAGCATCCATCTTCAAACAGATTGAACGCCTCACTCTACTATCACAAGGTCAACACACAATCTAGAACGATTTTAAGATTTAAAAAAAAACTTTCTCTGATTTTTTCAGTTGCTAAATGTTGAACCACTTTCTCCTTCTCTCATTTAGTGAGATTTTTGCCGTAAAACCGAAACCTAAATTTTGATGACGCCTGAACTCGTACAATTGATTAAGCACATAAAATACCGGTCCCCTTTTAACAAGTCAGAAATGTCTTTTCTAAAAAAAAATTGACACGGACACTTTCCATGAAGGTTGCGCTGCAAATTGCAAATTGTTTAAAAACATTTTCTCAAGTCCGAGGTTTTTTTTCTCTCGTAAATTCTGTCCACTAAGTAACTTGTTGTTACAGGCAAGACAGTGTTCCACGGGGAGCAGATGGATATCATAGACTACTTCTCCAAGCAGGGGCTGCAGTGCGAGGAGTTCGACAACCCCGCCGACTTCCTCCTCGACACCATCCTGCTCCACCAGCCGGCCATAGGCAAGCAAATATGATTACTTGTTAATTTCATTGAATGAAGAAATAACAGGTGCGTATCCAGGGTTTTCTAGAGGGAGGGGGTGGCCGGATTTTCAAAAAAAAATTGAAAAAGTTGTCGACATTTTTTTAAATCGACCAAATTGTTTTTTGAGCTCTCCCAAATCAATATAAAGACTCCATTTTGACCAAATATTTTGCACCGCAGGCAATTTGTTTTGAAAAAACAGGACAGAAACGTTTTAGGCACCTTTGGGAGCGCGTTTTTAGGCGCTCCCCTCCAAAACTAGCATATCTTGGCGAAGAAAGCGCTTTAAAAAAATTTTTTAATACCAGTCTGCTAAAATTGGATGTCCGAAAATAGTACCAAAGGGAAGACCATTTGGTTCGACATAAGGTCGAATTCTTAAAAAAAAAACGTCGGCTCCTTCCCCCACCCCCCCCCCCCCCCCCACAGCCTAAATCCGTCCCTGACTAATAACCCTAAAAAAATTACGATTGACTACCCAATTTGAACAGCGAGCTAGCACGGAATATTACTACGGCTATAATAGTTTCGGAACACTATATTTAAAAATGTTGTAAATTTTCCGAAAAAAAACTCGAATTGGAAGTTATCAAAAACAAACCATTTTAAAACAGTTGTAACCTTTTTAAAATTCCATTGTGGCCATAGGTCTACACTTGCCTCCAGGGGAGAAGATTCCCTCTCCCAATTACCCCAACACTGAGATCTGGAATCTGGCGGAGGCGTTCAAAAACTCAGAGTACAACGAGAAACGAGTAGAGGGAATGCTCGAGTCAATCAAGTGTAAGCAGTTGCATTTCAAAACGAAGATTTTGAAATATAAAACAAAGATAGCCGGTTACTGTGCAAGTAGCACAGAATGTTCCGACCACATTCTGAGAACAATTTTTTCATCTTCAAGTTAGTGTCTTTTTTGGAGGTCATGTGATGATAGACCTAAACGAACGCGTAAAAATTTAGTGAATTAGGTAAAAACGACTCCAATTTTCTTCAAAAAATAAACAACAAACATAAAATCATAAAATATTAAATATTTTTGAAAATTTTTTAAAAAGAGAAGCGCTGAAGAAAGGCTCCAAAATAAGTTTTTTAATGTAAAATCAAGTCTTTTTAGCTTAAATTGCTAATTTTTATATACAACGAAAATTACTCGATCACTTTACTCGTTCGAAAAAGATGTACCATCAAACATTTCAAACTGGTTTTTCTCGAAACCGAGAAAAAATTTTGGAAACTCTTTATGCCATTCGAACGAAGACTGAAAGGGCTTTAAAATGATATCACTTAACCCAGTCCTATGATTATTTGTGGTACCTGATTTTAACTGGATAAAAAAATTCAAAAAACTAAAACCCATTTTCAATGATTGGAACAACAACCAGCTAACCCTTAGAACCAGTTTACCTTAGAACCAGCTTACCAGCATAGATTGATCGTAAAACACTTTTTTTTCAAATTAGTGTCGTTTCTATACGATGCCAAACTGTGCACTGGATAGGCGCACAATTTTCTGTCTGTATGTTCCTGGATTTCAGAGACAAGTCTTTAAACATGTTAAAGTTTTGTCGGATAATAAAAAAATGAAAGAACAAAAGAAGAACAAATGAGCGTCCTTGTTACGGAATCCGCCGACATTTCCCAGAAAGCACAGTTTGGCCTCGTAATGTTTTGTGCAGATTGTCAAAAGCGGAAAACGTCACTGAATTACTCGTCAACAGTTGTTTTATATATTCGAATAACATTCAAAAATGAAAAAATCTATATCTACCAAAAGTTTCTGAAATTTTTCATTTTTTGCTGAATTTTTTTTTGATTTATCAAAACTTTTTATTGCCAAAAAAGCGCTAAATTAAGCCTTTGCCTTTATACTAGTTGTCCTAAAGTCAACATCTATTTTTGCTACGACCTGCTCACTTGCTATACTCGCTTGAAAGGGCTTTCATATGAGACATCAATTGATCCCTTCCGATGATTATTTGTGGTACCTGATGTAGTGAGGATAATGAAATATCTAAAACGCACCGAAAACAAAGTTCCTCGCTTTTTTCGGTGGTCGAAACAAAACACTCAGGCATAATAGGTACGACCAACCCTTTTACTGCTAAACTAGCGCCATATCTTTTTGGTTACTTTCTACGCCCGAGACTTTTTCGTTTATAAAAATTTACTTTTACTATTCGTCAATAAGCCCGATAATTTTCGTTAATTTCACTTTTAATTCACTTATTAACTTTAACAAAATAACAAATTCAAACGTCGCAGCTTGCGATGGCCTTCAATTCAAAGCTGTTTGTGATGGTTGAAGCATTCGTGAAGTTTTGAGACCACGATGGTACCGCGACAGCTCTCAACAAAAAGACAACTCCCAAGAAACGACAACTCGCATATTGAAGGAAAACGACAACTCACATGGTTTGAAATGACGACATGCTTTGATTTTTATCAGCGAACCACTGTTGACTCCTTGGACATTTTTTTAAAATGAACACTGCTGTACCGCATCCTAATCAAGGCTCTCGAATGCCAAAAATTGCAAACTAAACTGACAGTGGAAATTTAGTCCAAATTTAGTTACTTGACATTTTTTTTGTTTTTACAGCAAAAGACAAATTGAACAAAGACCAGCTGCGCCTGAAGAAGAAAGTAAGTCCCACTTACCAGACGTCTCTATGGACCCAAGTGTACCACCTGACAGTGAGGGGGGCGAAGAACGTGTGGAGGGACTCGACTGCACTCACGAGTCAGGTGGTGTTCGCCTTCTGCTTCGGACTCCTCATGGCCATCATATATGCAAATGCTGGGGACAATTTGAACGAGTTAGTATTGAGTAAAAATTTTAGTTTGGATATAAAAGCTGAAAAATGATGTATAGTTTCATTCTTTCATCTAAAGAGCTATTTAGCTACAAAATTTATCCACGATGGAAAAGACCAATAAACGAGCTCTTCAACTGTTAAAGGAGAACCGTTGTTTTGCCCTGGTTAACAATGTCAACAAATTTTTTAAATCATTTTATTGAGCTGGCTAATTTTGTGTCGTCCTTGTATGTAATGACCACCGATCATGGCCTTAAATATCCGACCTTGAAAAGGATCTTATAATTTAAACCCGTACATTTTATTATCGTTTTAACTGAACCCGTTTAAAAATTCACTCCATTGCGATTGAGAATCTAAAGAATTTCCTTGTAATTAATCTATTTTCCAGCCCAGATGGATTCATGGACAGGTATGGGTTCTTCATGTTCCTCAGTCAGAATATCATCTTTGGGTCCCAGTCGGTGCTGGAGATCTTCCGGTCTGAGAGGGTGGTGTTCCTGCACGAGAGGAGCAACGGGTTCTACAGGACAAGCGCATACTTCATATCTAAACTAGGCATCAATCTAATCTAAGAGGCTTCAAAAAAATAATTTGCAGACACCATTTATTCAAGAAAAAAAATCATCGAAGAAATTTTCGAACATTTTTTTTTCAATTTTTTTTCATTTTTTTGCTTCATCTGTGTTACATGTGCCATCAAGATCTATCAATGTGGCCAACGAATGTTTTACATCTGCTTTGGTCGGTCGGCATTTTTTAACATAAAAGAAATCGTTTTAGATGTTTCAAAAATGAATACAAAAATTCGGATTATAGGGATTTGCAAGAATTTGAGAATGGGGGCTTTCTATTATACGGCCCAAAAGTTGGAAACGACTGCTTATAAAAGCAAGCTGGTGCTCATTTATGTCAACGTCAAGCAATATAATTAGGTTACGGAAAAAACGAAAACACAAATTTTCATTGACGGAAACGCAAAAACGAACACTTTTTGGATCGATTTCAGTTATAAGAAGTAATTTTGAGAGTAGTACATTAAATTGATGCCATTTAACGCTAGCGGTGGAGATATTGCTGGTTCGTAGCTCTACAATTGTGATCTACTCGTTCATTGTGTACTGGATCATAGGACTGGTCAACCAACTGGAGAACTTCCTCATCTTCATCCTCTGCATGTGGACTCTCATGTTCGCTGGCATTTCTATGCTCCTCAGCTTGACCATCAGTTTCAACAATGTGCAGGTGAACGTTTTTAGTTGTCTTTAGTTTTTGGTTATTAGTTTTATTTTATTTAGTTATCTTTTTATTTAGTATTTAGTTTTTAGTTATCTTACGAATACAGAATAATTGCATTCGACATCAATTAATTAGACTCAACGGACTTGTCTGCTTAGTGTTTTTTTTGTATTGAGGTCAACCCGGGTGTCAATGCATGGGTAAAAAAATCAATCAATGGTCAAAAGTTTCTTTGGTATAAAAAATTTTTGTTCCAAGTGTTTGATTAGAAAACAAATTTTGGTTTTTACAAATGTTTTAAAACCTAAAAAGAAAAAAAAATCGCCAGCTGAAACTTTTCTGTGTTTGGCTCTTGTAGTGTTGAGGACTTCTGCGTAGCGCTCCTCCCTCAAAGTCAGTGTACATGGGAATCACGGCACTTTTAGGATATAATTATGCTTGGTCGAGTAGAAATGGATGTCATTAAATAGTACAAAAGGGGTACCCTTTCGGTGACCAGGTCACAAAACAAGCTCCGCCGTCCCTCCCGCTAAATCAGCAATATACATAAGGCAATGTAGATACCTTACAAACTCGATCCAAAAGCTATAAAAATATGAGCAAATTGAGAACCCAACGTACTGTGTGTGTAAAATCAATTTGTTATTTTGTTGGTTCAGCCGCCTAAAAATGATTTTGTTCAAAGCTTCTGTAATTTATTTTACAGGTGGCCCAGCTGATGACTACTGTACCCACACTTGTATCCAGTATTTTCTCCGGACTCTTCATCAATATTGAGACCCTCCCAGTCTACCTGAAATGGCTACCCTACGTCGCACTAGGCCGATACCCGATGGAAATCTGGTCGACCAATGAGATGGCAGGATTAATATTCTACGGAACGACCAATGAGACTTTTACATACGAAAATGGAACAACGTATTGGGAATTAGTGCCGTACAATAAAACGGGAAAAAGGATGCTGGAAGACCAGGATATTTCAGCTGACAGTTCGAATATATGGAGAAATGAAGCAATTATGGCAGGAGCTACAGTTGTTTTGTTTATAGTCAGTTTCATTCAGTTGACCTTGCTGAAAAAACGAAAATGATTATATCGTATAACCAAAACTGTTACTGCATGATTTGTAAGTCAAGCATGAAAGTTCAATTCTTACAACATTTTAGCCAGTTAATTAAAATTTAATGTAGGATTGGATTTAGAGTTTGCCAATTAGATCGAATAGTCTAGTCTCTCAGGTTTTTTTAACCTGGTTAAGCGTCAGTTGTCTCAGTTAAGCGTCTGTCGACAATTAATTATTTATTTGTTGTGATGATAAAACATGCCGCAAAAAATTTATCAAAACAATTAAATTATCAAAATGTTCACTTTCCGGATAGTTTTCTTACGCTTTTGAGCATGTAAGTTTTCCGTTCACAGAGTGTTGAAAACGTGCCAATGAACTCAAAAAGTTTTTTAAAAAAATCAGAATTTGAAAAAATCATACTTCTTTTTAAGTGATTTTTAAAGTTTTACCTTTATACTCAATTTTCTCTAATTGATTTAATTGTATGAAAAAAGTTGGAATCAGAAAAAAACTTCATTAAATTTAAGCTAGTTTTTTTCTGATTCCAACTTTTTTCATACACTTGAATCAATTAGAGAAAATTGAGTATAAATGTAAAACATTAATCCGCCGGTCAATATAATAATTAGAACCGACTTTCGGAATTAAAAGTAGTTCACGTGTTTTCGTGCAAGGTGCACTTTCTTAATGGAAGAAAATAAATTTTAAATGATTATGGAAGGAAACAAGACTGCTTTGTATATCAAGTCAAAGCCCTGAATGTTCCGACTGTCCCTTAATTCATATCAAATAGTTTTTGGGAAAAAATATTGAACACCCATACGTTTTGAACAATATCAAAGTGTTACATTTTGAATGGTACGAAATTAATACGGCCAGTTAGCTAGCCTCCATTCAATTTGGGACAATTTTGCTGTGCGGGATGTTTCGCCACGCATAAATAGTTCGCGTTACGCTCTCAGCATCATTAATAAACTCAAATAAAAAAAGCGCATAATTTAGTCCGGAATATGGCAAATTTGGCAATTTTCAAACCAGATTTTTTACAAAAAATGATCGGAGGTGAAATATATTTTTCTTACATTTGAACTCAGGAAGTCAATATCTTCAATCAGGTATAAAAAAATTTTGTTGAAAATTTCTATTACGAACGGTGAAAAATGAGAATAAAAAAACCATTTCAAGCATAAATATTCCGTTTTCTTCGAAAGTCGGAACAATCAAACAATCCAAAATTGAGCGTGGGCAGACTTGAAGACTCTTCATAGAAAATTTACCAAACGTCCTCATTAAGTTTCGTCACTACGTTCATCCACACTTAACAATTGGGGGCTATTCTCATCATGGAGATACGGAATGATAGAAAAATTTCAACCAATCAGAATCAGTAGAAGTTTCTATTCAGTGAAATATTATTGAAGGGAACTGAATTCAAATTGACAGACCATGAACTATAGCATGCACAGCCCGTGCAGAGAGTAGCGAGTTTAGTGGGGGGGGGGGGAGTGGATGCCTCTTCCATCCCCCTCAAGGATTCGACCCCCTGTCCACACAAAGGGCCCACAACACAGTCTGATCAAAACCGACTGAAACTTTAACATCAGCCGCAAAGCTTTGTGTTTGCCCAATTTTCTGCTACTCAATAATCGGAGAGTTCAACTGCAAACACTTCATTTCTAAATCGTCTCGATTCTTTGCAGCGGCAGACATCACATTTTCGCGGGAAGTTTTCAAAAACATATTATACAAATTAGGGCCACGTATCTTAGCAGACCACTCACTAAATAAACAGTTCGAGCCACCAAAACTGAGAAGTTTCTTTACCTTCAGTTATTTCTGGTCGTGTCTTGCTTCAAAACTTGCTGCAAAACGAAACGTCAGATATTGAGTGATTTATCATACTGGATCCAAACTCGGCGGGCTTAACGTATTTACGAGGGTGGCAGAGCGGATTTTTTGGGATCGGATTATGGAAACAAAAATATCGAAACTTATGAAAATTTGTGGGCTGAATAATTTCTAAATCTTATTTTTCAGATGTTTAACTGCCTTACTTGTCTTACCTACTGTGTTATTCTATAATTGCCTTCGGATTGATTTCAAGCTTCTTTTTATCCCTCTTCCAACATTGGTTTGAGCTTAGCTTAGAATATGATTGTGCTTACTTATTGTTCCGACTTTCGTAACGGAAGTAACTGAAAGTTTGTGCTCGGAATTATCAGATTTCGTCAGAATTAATATGGTCAAATTTTTTTCTCCCAATTTCTCAACCAAAATTCTGCCCCAAAAATGGCTCATTTTTTTTTTTCAATTAATCAAAAACTACGCTGAAACTAAATTTTTAATTGATGAGAAATATATAAATCACAAGAAGCCTCTTACAAAGCCCATCAAAGTTCTAGAAGAGTTTAATCTCCAAAAACCTGTATAAGAGAAAATAGTTTTGCTTGATAGTCAAGAAACGTAATTTTTTTATGTAAAATCCAAAATTTTTGCTTTAAAACAAATTTTAAACAATTTACTCTAATTTTTGCAAATTCAACTTTTCTGGAACTTTGTTGAGCTGTGAAAGAGGCTTCTTGTGATATATATTTCTCATCAATTAACAAAGTAGTTTCAGCGTTGTTTTTGATTAATTGAAAAAAGCCAAAATTACCCATTTTTGGGGTAAAATTTTGGTTGAGAACTTCGTATAAAAAAATCTGACCATTTTAATTCTGATGAAATTCTGAGCAATTTTTTTCTCTTCATTTTTTGTCTAATCTTAACCCAGTTTGAGTAAAACGCGTAGGAAACTTCAAGTTTTGTTAGTTTTTTCCCGGATAATTTAAATCAGCACTGTATGTTACTACGAGCAAAAATTATCATTTTGTATTTTATATGGCGTGCGGGGGGATGCTTTTCACAAAATAGATCTCATATTTTATAAAAAAATCTTTTTATTTTTATTGCATTTAATTTTTTCTTGTTATAACTGCTTCATAAACCTTAAAAGGCAGTTGGAACATTCAGGGCTTCGCTCTGATACGAGCAGTCTTGTTTTAATTAAACTTGCCAGTAGATTTAAACTACTTTGTCATGTGGCGCAGCCAACTTGAAAAAACAATTATTCGAAGACTTTTTGCAGCGTTTTGTAGCCAGTCATTAAAACAAACACCATTTCATGGAAAATTTGGGGCAAATTATCTCAAATTAGCTTAATTGCAAGTCAAATTTTTCATATCGACATTATTCATGAGGTGTCGTCTGAGAATCAGCAATCAATTCCAAACAAGGCTTCACAGAACGACAAAAACAGCAAAAAAGCAAAGAGGGAAAATTTTCGGCAATTGATACAGTCATTATCGTATATGAAAAAAATTAGGGGCCTTCAAAACGCAGTCGTTTAAAGGTATGTCTCAATTAGAAGACAACATAAATTGAGATTCATTCTATTATTATCCTTACAAAAATCAGGACTTAATCTTTTCGAGCCAAAATTCACGAAATTACAAGTTATAGCAGTTGCGTTAAATTCAGCAATCTACAAAATAAGTTCAAATAACCCTAGCAAAAAAGATCGCTTATAAGAAAACAGCAATCCAACAAGCTTTTGGAACATTTCTGGAAATCACTAGCTGAAACGGTGAAACCAGCAGCCCCAGCTTTACTAAACGGCAAACAAGAAAAACTCAAATGTGCTGCATAAAAATTTGACGCAACAGAAAATTTTGCGCCGCAACTAAATGAAGCTATGGTGATAAAACAGGGCGTGCAAAATCACCACAAATTTTCTTAGGAAAAGCGAAACCAAGGTTTTGCATAATTTTTCATGATTTTTCATGTGGACAATAGCTTCACTGGATTAAGCGAGAACCAGTTAACTTTATTGTTGAAGATCTTTAAACAACAAACACAGAAAAAGTGGGATTGAGTTTACAGAAAAAAAAACAACCAGGAAACCTGTGCAGCCGAAGTTGTGGAACCTGATCTAAACTATATTTTATGATTGGATAAATCAGATATTTTACCACTGTAAAGTATTTAATATTAACCAATCATGATCCATCTAACTAACAACCCACTTATTTGTAAGTGCTGAAATTACTTGTATTTTTAGCACCAGAGAGATTTGAATTTAACTTAGAAATTACTTGTCTCTCCAAGAGAACTTCAGCAGCCGCAACAAACCAGTATACCCTAGATCTATTGAGCCTAGCAGAGACTAGTTAAACACCCTGAGACTAGAAAGTATAAGAGTAAGATTAGGATCGGTATTAGACTAAGAAGTTGCACGAATCTATCCGGCCGAAAATAAGATAGCGTGACGAGCAGACGGTATACCCTATCCGAAATTACTCTATGAGTTAACCACATCGGTCATAACTCATCTGGTGCAACCATAAGTCTCGAATAAGACCTTAATAGCTTAGAACTAGCCAAAAATAGATTAGAAATTAGACAAAACATTTTCAAAATGTTATACGATAATAATTTAATCGAAATGTCTCTACGACTCAATAGATCAGAGCCGATATTCCGAAAAATAATAGAACTACCCGGAATTGGAAGAAGACCTCGATCAAGAGACGACATACGACAAAGTAGAAACTTACCAAATAGTTTTATGATCGTACGGCAAAAGCCAACACAAACGTTTATATCTAGAATCTTATTAGCAATGAATTTAGATTTTCATCTGCAAACATAAAATTTTGAAGTCAATCTTCATAATCAATTCAGGCGCTAAGCAAAATTATTAATATACAATAACGATTGATAAAAACATCTCAGATCGTTTTCTTAATTTCTGCATCTTTATATAAAACATATTTGAAAAATATTGATTGAAAATGAAAATAAAAATTAGTAGCATGACAATAAATTGTTAGTAATCATAAAATCATCTGTTGTCCCAGCTTCATCACCTAAACATAACAGCAATCATAAGCTCACTAATATCATTAAAATACAAACTCTTTTTCTTATATAAATTTAAACCATTTTAAACTCAAATTCACTTAATTTTAAAATCAGATCATCAAGGCTTATCCTTGGATCTCAATTAATTTTCTATTTCACTAAATTTAAAACCTGATCATCAAGGCCTATCCTTG